AGAGATACTATGTTCCATCTCCAGCTTCAGCCAGTCCTAGACTATCAGCACATCTGTGCTTGGGGTACTTGGGGAGATTGCTGGGTGTGAATCTGGACCTATACATGTGCACTGGCCTCACAGAGCAGAAAGTTTTACCACTCTGCCACAGTCTGGCCCAACAAACCTTTCTAAAGACATTTTTTTGTGCCTTGGACAGTTATTGAAAAAAGATGCTGCCAAGTTGAAATTCAATCTAAAGAAAGATTTTTGTCAGGGATTCTCCATTATGAAAAATAAAGCCAATGAATAAGGAAAGGAATTTATATTGATAATTTTTTCTTTTCTTTCTTTTCTTTTAAGGTGTTTTTGTCTTAGGGCACATGTGCTCGTTGGAGAGACAAAGAGAGACAGAGACAGTGAGAGGGAAAGTGAGACGTTATCCCCCAGGGAGGATGGCCATGATGCATTCTCTTCTCTTTTCATCCTCCCAAGATCTTGGGCATGCACACACACACACACCTGGTGTGGGTTTTAAGCCACTGGGTCCAGGACTCAAACTGTGGTTGGTCACGTGGAAGTCCAGTGACGTAACTGCTACTCCATCTATCGGCCCGGCCCCATACATTCATAATTATTCTGATAAGTAAGAGTAGGTTGTAGGTTTCTCTAGCCTTCTGTCAGTGTGCGCTGCAACACCTAAGTGGCCATGAGTGCCCTTGACAGTGATGCTAAGGCTTCATGTATTTCTAAAGTACCTTATCAGTCTCCAAAAGGAAAAGCACGTGATTTTAGTATTGTTTTAGAATTGTGTTTTCAGGCCAGTTGGTGGTATGGTGGTTAAGGCAGCATGGCTGACTGCGTGGTTTGAGTCCCGGATCCTAAGGCTTAAAAAGCACACAGGGCGCATATGTATGTGTGCTTAAAATCCCAAAAGGAGAAATGGAGAAGGGATTACGGCATGGTCATTCTCCTAGGGAGTGCTTTCTCACTTTCTCTCCTTTCTTTCACAGACACGCCCGGTAGAAAGTTTTTAAAAATAAGAATTATGGAGGACTAGCAGTTAGCGTAATGGCTATGTCACTGGACTCCCATGTAGTCAACCGCAGTTCGCGTCCCAGACCCAGTGGCTTAAAACTCACGCCGACCATGTGTGCGTGTGTGCCCAAGATCCCGAGAGGAGAACGGAGGAGAAGGGATTGCAGTGTGGCCATCCCCCCTGGAGGGTGATTTCTTGCTTTCTGTCTCTGTCTGTCTGGCGAGCACATGTGCCCTATGGCAAAAACCTCTCCAAAAAAGAAAAAAAAAAAAAGAACTATGGTTTCTGTATTCTCTTTTTAACAGTGTGATAAGCTGGGCTTGGCTGTGGTGGCGCAGGTGGTAGGGGCATCGCTATGCAATACTGGAGCCATATGAGAAGGCCCAGGGTTCAGTTTAGGTCGCCACAAGCACACCAGGTATATCACGATCCTGGTTGGCAGAAAGGATCAAGGGAGGATCGTGGCTTGATAAGACCCTGTCAGAGGACCCTATCTCTCTCTCTCTCTCTAGGAATAAATAAATAAAAACACTTTTTAAAATGTGGTCATCTGGGCCAGCAGGTGCTATGGTGGTTAAGGCACCAGACTCCCACATGGCAGACCACAGTTCAAGTCCTGGACCTAGAGGTTAGCTTTCTCACTCTCCCTTTCTCTCTCTCTTTGGTCAAATTAAAAAATAATAACAAGTAAAATTAAGTAAATACATTTTTTAAATGTGGTAAGTTGTAATTCAGAATTATTTGACAGGATGGTCTGGAAGTCTTTAGTAACTTGCTCATGTATATAATCTGGCCAATTTCTTTTCTTTGCATTCTGCTATCTTCTTTTTTCCTTTTTTTTTTTTTTTTTTTTGAGAGGTGTTCGCTATAGGGCACGTGCGCTCGCCAGACAGACAGAGAGAGACATAGAGACAGAAAGTGAGAAATCACCCCCCAGGGGGGATGGTCATGCCGCAACCCCTTCTCCTCCATTCTCCTCTCGGGATCTTGGACACGCACGCACGCACAGGTGCCCGCCATGAGTTCTAAGCCACCGGGTCCGGGACGCGAACCGCGCGCGGTCGACTACGTGGGAGTCCAACGACAAAGCCATTACACTAACTGCTAGTTCCCTGCATTCTGCTATCTTGATAGAGAAAATTTGCTAGACACTTTCTCTATTGTTGAAGGTCTTTACGTTTTTGCAGAAAGTTGCTGAAAATCATTTACAAAATATGACTTAAGAAAGTTTAAAATTGATCCAGTCTCATAATCATTTTTATTCTTGTAGGGGATTTTCTAAAAGAGTATGAAAGTTTAGATTGTGTCTTATAAGTTGGTGATTTCTGCCTCCTGAGCCTGTCAGAAAGCTCTTAATATAAATTTGCTTATTAGATAAGTTTAAGTACATTTCTAAGAAATCGTGGTCTATTAGCTATCCAAACCATACTTTGCAATTTTTCTAAACTTATTTATTTTGAAAGTGATCATGAAAGACTCACCATCACTTTCTTTCCTTTTTTTTTTTTTTGGAGAGGTTTTTGCTGTAGGGTGCGTGTGCTCGCCAGAAAGATAGAGACAGAAAGTGAGAAATCACCCCCCAGTGGAGGGATGGCCACGCCGCAATCCCTTCTCCTCCATTCTCCTCTTGTGATCTCTGGCACATATGCACGCATGCCTGGAGTGAGTTTAAGCCACTGGGTCCGGGTCTGGAACCACAGGTGATTATATGGGAGTCCAGTGACATAGCCATTATGCCAACTGCTGGTCCTGACCCACCATCACTTTCTTGAATAATTAAAGCACAAAATACATATTAAAGAAGTCGATAAGTTATGATCAGTTAACAGTAATGCTTTGCTGATGGAAGTGTAAAATTGAGACTATCTTCTCAGCAATTTGACAATAGGTGATAGAAGCTTTTAGAATTCTACATCTCTCACCCTTTTAAAAATTCTCCCTAAGATTATAGAGACAAGGACAAAACTTTTTGTATAGGAATATCTGTTACTATGATATTTATAAAATGAAAATTTAGGGGCCGGCCCCATAGCCTAGTGATTAAGAGAGTCAGATCCCACATGGCCAACTGCCTGTTCAAATCCCGACCCTGCCAGCTTGGAAACCATGCCAGTTGTATAGGCATGTGTGCCCCAAATCCCAACAGGATGGAGAAATGGAGAAGAAATTGTGGTGTAACCATGCCCCATTAAAATAAATGATACTTATTAGAAAACAATAATAAAAATATCTTTAAAAATCAGTTATCAGACACCATTCTATATTTATTACTTAAATAGATTTAACATTCTATAATCATGGGAACCAGCAGTTAGCGTAATGGCTATGTTGCTGGACTCCCACGTAGTTGACCGTGGTTCGCGTCCTGGACCCGGTGGCTTAAAACTCACGCCAGGCGCACGTGCGTGCGTGCCCAAGATCCCAAGAGGAGAATGGAGGAGAAGGGATTGCGGCGTGACCATCCCCCCTGGGGGGTGATTTCTCGCTTTCTGTCTCTCTGTCTCTGTCTGTCTGGCGAGCACACACGCCCTATAGAAAAAACCTCTCCAAAAAAAGAAAAAAACATTCTATAATCATGAAATAATGATAACCAAACTCTTAGACTTTTTATTTTCTTTCTTTTTAAAAATTTTTGCTACAGGGTGTATGCCCTCGTTGGAGACAGAGAGGGAAAATGAGAAAGTATTCCCCAGGAGGGGTGGTCATGTGCAATCCCTTCTCTTTCATTCTCTTCTCAGGATTTTGGGAATGCATACAGACATGCCTGACATGTTTTTCAAGATGCTGGGTCTGGGACATGAACCGCACAGTTGACCATGTGTGATCCAGCTGCCTTAACCTCCACCTCATCTGCTGGTAGCCAAATCTTAGACTTTTAATAAATGGCTTTTTTTTTTTTTCATTTTTAAAGACTGTGAGTATGAGAGAAACAGAGATAGAAAGACAATTACCTTCAATAGGACTGGGGAACTGAACACCAGTTTATCCATATGAGGAGCAAAATTTGAACCAAGTACCACCCCTGTACCACCAAGCCAGCCCCAAGGGCATTTCCAATAGCCTATAGATTCATAGAATATGTGACTGATGGCTTCATCAGTGCCTCTCAATCACATAAGTTATTTGGCTCATGATATTGTCATCAATTAACCTAAACAAAAATCTGATTTAGGGGGCCAGCAGGTGGTATGGTGGTTAAGGTGCTGGATAATCCCACATGACCGATCACAGTTCAAGTCCTGGACCTGGTGGCTTGCTTTCTCACTTTCCCTCTCTCTTAATTTGTATCTATCTCTACTTGAATTAAAATAAATGAATGAATAAACAAAATTAAATAATTCTTTTAAAAAGTCTGATTTAGCCCAATGTACCTATTACCACTAATCTTATTGGTGACAAGAAGTTCCTGATAAGGATGGGTTGAAGAGGTGAAAAGGAGGGCAAGTTTTGGGATTTAACTTCCTTGAAACCCTTTTCTTTGAAGGGTTGGATATTTGATCTGATTTCGTTTACATCAGATCTTTGAACAATCATTACACAGCTATGGGGAGGGATGGGAAGGAAGGAGTTAAGTCTGAAACAGTGCTTGAGTTAGGATTTGTTTTGGAATCACTTATCTATTAGGTTGCTGACAGCAATAAGCATTTTCTAAATACCTAAGAGAATGAAAGTAGATTTTCATCCAGCAAAAAGGTAGAAGATAAAACTTAGTTATTTCTCTATTTCATTCAGGTGAAAGTTTGACTTAGTAAAAAAAAAAAAAAAAAAAGAAAGAAAGAAAAGAAAAACCTGAAAACAAAACAAACAGATAAAAGTTATCGTTTAAAAACATGGTCACGCATCTGCCTCTAGTGTGTGGTCCTCTCTATCAGCCAAGATGGCCTTTGGGAGATATTTATTTTGTAAAATAAAGTTCAAAAAGACAAAGAGATCATTGACTTAGACCAAACACTCCATAACTCCTGCAAATGGATGGTCAATAGCCATTGATATGCAGTCTTTATTTTGGCCAAGAAAGGGTAGAGTTATTCTCAAGGTTAAGTAAAGGTCATCCCACTCTGCCATACTGCCACTCAGCAGTGATGGAAAAGCAAAGCCTGAAGTTGGGGGCCAAGAAATTTCCCTTCAGAGACAAGTGGCCCAGTCTGTTCACTCAGGTCATCGGTTAGTTTTCCCATAATTGTACCAGATCAGTAGTCGAGTGAAATGCCAGATGCATCACTGATAGGATCTCTGTGCCGGGTTGACAGTCCTTTAATTTGTGTGCCTTCAAGGCCAGAGGCCATTATTTCTAATTGCCTTTTCATCCTGCAGCAGTTCATCTATCTTGCACTCACATCAAATGTAATCTCCATGTTAGATGATGATGAGAATTTTGTCTGATGTAGCTATCAAACTTGTTTCAGCAACTTCAGTAGCTTCAGAAAAAATCTTAAAAGACTCAAAATTGAACGTAGAAGGCAAATAATGGTGGATTTTTCATAATTAATGTTACAGGATCTCCATACTGACACTTTTCAACATCTAGGTTCTTAAATGAATTTGATCCCTAAAAATGTAAAAAAGAAAGAAAGGAAGAGAGAAATAAGTCTATATTTCATTTATTGCACTTTCAAAACAGGCACTGGACTCCCACATGGCCAATTGCAGTTTGAGTCCCGGACCTGGTGGCTTGCAAATCAAACCAGACATATGTGCGTACATCCCCAAGATCCCAGGAGGAGAGCGGAGAGGAAGGCCTTGCAGTATGGCTATCCCCTCTAGGGGGTGATTTCTCCCTTTCCTTCTCACTGTCTCTATGGCAAGTACTCTCAACCTACAGCAAAAACTGAAAAAAAAAAAAAAAAAAGAAAAAAGAAAAGAAAAGAAAGGAGGGAAAATGAGAAATCACTCTCCAGGGGAAATGGCTACCCCACAACCTCTTCTCAGGATTTTGGGTACACATGCATATGCACCTGGTATGATTTTCCAGTCACTGGGTCTGGGACTTAAACACAGAGCCAGCCACGTGGGATCCAGCCTCCTTAACCTCTACGCTGTCTGTTGGCCCATAACGAGTTAATGGTAACACTTCTGATGATTTCAGAAAGGAACTTTGGGTTTCTTTTTATTCAGTGACCATGTATGTAGCTCTCCCATGCTAGGTGCCAGGTACTAGGGACCCAAGATGAGTCAGAGGAGTCCCTGGGAAAACCACCAAGAGTGCCTTCAGGCCAGTGTGCATTCAGAGCCAAGAGGGAAGCACATTTTGGTGCTGGGGGTGGCCAGGAAACCTTCAGGGAGAAGCAGGGAGACTAGGCCAGGCACTCTGAATGCTAGGTTCCATCTGATTAAACCTGTGGGAAAGCTGAGATAGTTATCTCCATCTAAAGGGTGAGGAAAAAGAGGGACAGGGCAGAACTTTCCCACCTAGATGTTGTGTGGCATGGTTTCTTTTCTGTCATTTTCCCCAAAGCTACTATGGAGAGAAGAGCAGTTTACATTTCCAAGTTCAGGAACCCAGCTTCAGAAGCTGAACAAACCATGGAAAAAGGAATCCTCCCCTAGAGCCTCAAGAGGGCACTAGCCCTGCCACCCTGATAAACTGAGCTCGGGCTTCTCTAGTTTTAAACCATTGAGTTGAGGTAATGGATACAGAGGCCCGAGGAAACTAATACAATAATGGACAAAACTGGCAGAGATGAAGCACAGGTTCTGGGTGGTGACCACAGTGAGAAAAGCGTTAGACACAGTGGTTTGCCATTATGTAAGACCAAGGTCTAAAGCATCTTATACACTTTATGCTTCCCAGTAGCCTTCAAAAGTAGGGTTTTTTTGTTTTTTTTTTTTGTTTTTCACAAACAAAGAAACTGGGGCTCAGAGAGGTAATCTGCCCAAGGTCACATCATGGCAATAGTGGAGCTGGGATTTGAACCCAGGTCTCACTGATGCCAAAGTCCATACTCTTTTTGCTTTGCTCCTTGAAGGCTGGTTATCTTATTGCATACTTATTTACTACTTGAATAAAAATGTACCTTATTAGCATTCAAATTTGCAAATTAAAATTGCATATTGTTCCTTTACTTACTGCAGTAGCTGGAGTGGGACAATGGGTGATTCCTAGGTTACTTTCTGGCATCTTTCTCTCTCCCTCTTTCTCTGTAATGCCACGGGGTAAGTATAATCAGCCGAGAAAGAGAGACAGAAGGACAGAGAGAGGAAGCACTCCCCCAATGGAGTGTGGTCATGCCACGACACACTGCGATTTCTCTTCCTCCATTTCAGCACTCGGGGCATGCATGCGTGTGCGCCTCACACATATTTCAAACTGCCGGGCCCGGTCTCATATGCCTCCTGAACCACGGAGTGCACTGCTCCCTGCAGACCCTCCCAGGAACCTTAGCATACAGCTGGTTGAGTCATGTGTCTGGGTCTGCAAGCCCAGCTTTCTTCAGGTCGGTCCTCAGACCTACTGGGTTGTCAGGAAAGTCATATTTTTCTATTTAAAAACATGTCATGACTTTTCTGACAACCCAACACATTTAGGGAATAAAGCCTGGTTTTGGTTTCAGGTTTATATAGCATTAGAAAATATGGCTCCATCAGTAATGAGGTAGACACTGTATTTTAATTGATATCAGGTGCTTCAGTCCTGTTCCGAATGGTGGTGGGAGGGAGTGATTGAGCTTCCCCCAGGAGATGCCCACCCATGACGCATGAACTGGGAACAGTCATATAAAGTGGTTTCAGAAAAAAGCATCACAGGGAGAGATGGCCTCTGAGGCAGCTGCAGTAGCTGACGCAGGCTGAGTCACAGCTGCTTCTGATAGGCCAGCGCCGGTAAATAGGCTCCATGACACAGTGAGCCATTTGGCCGCCTATGGTGTGATCACAGTGCGACATGTGAGTCACTCTGAGGCTCTGGCTGTTGTCTTCCGGCCCTGGCTGTGTGGTCCCTGTGACTGTAAGCCATTCAAGCACGCTTGGGCATGCTGGAGTCACAGAACTAACCTGAGGCAGGTATTAAACTACTGGATAATAATTTCCCCTACATCCTGTGAAACAGTTATAAATCTCGATCCACAAATACATTTGTTCAAGAATTCTATCTGTATTCTCTGTAATGCTATCGTTTCTGACTCTGCAACTCCTTTGGCCCCTAACTGAGGCTCCATTGTGTTCTGACCCCTGGGACTGATGTGCTGATGAGGTAATGAGGAAGACAGAACATCTGGTTCTCAGTCATAGGTCCACACAGGTAGCCATCGACACACCATTCCACGTCCACGTGACTCCACTCAGATGGCTTTCTCAAAGTGTTGTTCTTTGAAAAATAAACTCTGTCATGTTCAACGACTAAAATCTTTTTTTTTTTCTGGAGAGGTTTTTACTGTAGGGCGCGTGCACTCGCCAGACAGACAGAGAGAGACAGAGAGATAGAAAGCAAGAAATCATCCCCCAGAGGGGATGGCCACGCCACAATCCCTTCTCATCCATTCTCCTCTTGGGATCTTGGGCACGCATGCACATGTGCCCAGTGTGAGTTTAAGCCACCAGGTCTGGGACTCGAACTGCGGTCAACTACATGGGAGTCCAGCGACATACCCATTATGCTAACTGCTGGTCCCCCGACCACTAAAATCTTAAGAGTTGTTGCCAGGGCCTTTTTTTTTCAAGAATTATTTTAATTTATTATTATTATTTAATTTGCTATAGGGCACGTATGCTTACCAGAGAGAGAAACCAAGAAAGCAAGCCATCAGGTCTGGGATTCAAACTGTGGTCAGCCACATGGGAGTCCAGTGCCTTAACCACCATACAATCTGCTGGCCCCACTAGGGTCTGTTTTAAACTATCCTGACCAGAAAAAGTGAGATAAGTTATTTCCTTATGCCCCAAAATAGTAAATAGCACCACAGAAAAAAACAAATGAGAAACTGAGTAACAGAACCATGACAACCACCACAGCCTGACTTGAATTGGAGAGAAAACTCAGGAGACTCTCCTGGTCCTCATCTTTTTCTGCCTCACTTCCCCACATTCCATCAAGTCCAGCACTAGCTGGGGAGTCTGTACTGCAGTGTGCTGGGCTCTGGGGCAACAGCTAGAGAAGTTGATTGATTTGGGGCTTCTAAGTTCTCTGGGTAGGGAGCTGTTCATTTGGTATTCTTGTCAGTGCTAATGACTCTGAAAACGCAGGAGACACAAGAACTTTGGGGTTGGCTCAGTTTAAGAAGTGGCAACCATTCTTTTTTATTTAAGTTTATTTCTTCCATGAATGAGCAAGTAAGAGAGACAGCATCCTCAACAGAGTCGTCAAACCACAATTCACCCCCAGTGTCAGCCAGCCCCCGTTCATGAGCATGTGTGCACCTGGCATGGTCAGGGAGGTACCCGGATATGAGCTTGGAAGTTTCATATGTGGGTCAGCCTTGGTCATTCTGTCTAGCCCCCAGGAATGATGCCTATTCTAGTAAGAGTCTAGGCAGCAGCTTCTTGAGGAAATCCAGGTATCTGAGAGCTTTTTTTTTTTTTTTTTTAGTAAGGTCAAGAAATTAGGAGGACAGGATTTCGGATCTGAATTCTGTTGGATTTTCACATTGAGGTGAATTCATATGTGGACTTCTCATTTAACCCTCCTTGAATTTTTTTCCACTGGAGAGGGTTTTGTTACTATTTGAAACATTTTTGTATTACTGACATTTTTAATTTGGAGTATTTTATTATTTGGGCTCATTGCAAAACACAGTGTCTTTCACACTTTTTTCTTAAATATGACATGAAGCAGGGAAATACATTTTATATCCTGGCCCTATAACTGTAGCACAATGTTATAAAATGAAACATCTCAGCTGGAATTTCACTGAAGGCAAATAGGAAGCCTTCCACTGAAGCCTGAACAAGGCTTTTGTATAGGCAGCTTACTGGGACCGAGACTGCAGGGAGCAGAAGTGGACAGCAGGGGGAGCGACCAGCTCCCACAAACAAACCATCTGCCTGTTTGAAGGTCAGGGCTGTCATGGCAACGAGGGCTCAGTCCCACAAGGTCTGAAGAACACCTGGAATGGAGCTCAGAATCAGATCCTTGGGGGATGAAAAGGGCATGTTTGTCCACTGATGCCTTTTCTACATCGGCCTTTGTGGTCGTCCTACCAGTTCTAACCTCTCTCCTCCCAGGGTACACTGTCAAGTGAAAACACCCAGCAAGTGTGCATGCATGCCCCAGATCCTGATGAGACAGGGAACTGGAGGAAGATCTGTGGTGTGACCATGCCCCATCAAGGGTTTTTCTATCTCTCTTTCTCTGGAAAGTGTGGAAACCCTCTGACAGTAAAGGAAATTTTAAAAAGAATACGATTATCAGTAAAATTAACTGTATAACAGAAAAGGTAGTGGGTCTATTCTTTATAAACCATTTTTAGTTTTGCTAGGGCATGCATACTTGTTAGAGAGAGACAGAGACAGAGAAATAAAGAGGAAAAGTAAGAAAGCACCCCTCTCAACCAAGAAGGTGGCCATGCCCTAATCCTTTCTCTATTCTCCCTGGTATTTTGGGCATGCATACACACCCATCTGGTGTGTTTTTCTTTCTTTTTTTAAAAAAGAGATTTCGGCTATAGGGCATGTGTGCTCAAAGGAGAGACAGAGAGACAGAAAATGAGAAATCAGTCCCCGGGGAAAGGCCACATTGATCTGAGTAGGAGCTGCACAAAGATGTGAAGAGGACTGCTCTCTCTCAAGGTGGACAGGTGTTCCTCTGCTTCAGCACAGGCTCGGTCAGGGACGGTGGCCATTCTCTGGCTGCATATCACAAGTGCCTGGCCCCACCCCACACCAATGAATCTGTTTCTGGGGGTGGACACAGGCACTATTGTTTCCCCTTTTACTGAGGTGCAACTTATGTCAGGAGCACAAAACCTTTTTTTTTTTTTTTTTAAAGAGGTTTTTGCCTTAGGGCACATATACTTGCTGGAGAGAGAGACAGTGAGACAGTGAGAGGGAAAGTAAGAAATCACCCCCCCCAGGGGGTATGGCCATGCTGCAATTCCTTCTCCATTCTCCTCCTGGGATCTTGGGCATACAGGCACCTGTACCCAGAATGAGTTTCAAGCCATCGGGTCCAGGACTCAAACCATGTTCAGCCATGTAGGAGTCCAGTGATGTAACCCCTATGTCATCTGCTGGCCCAGGCACACAAGTTTTTATGACATAATTAAATGATTTTTAAAAAAATATGTATTACACACAGGTAACCAAATCAGGGTTTAGGGCATTTCTTTTTTTTCTTTTTTTTTTTTTAAAAAGAATTATGTATTTAATTTTATTTATTCATTCAGTTATTTTAATTTGACCAAAGAGAAACACAGAGAGGGAGAGAGAGAGAGAGGGAAAGTGAGAAAGCAAGCCACCAGGTCCAGGACTCAAACTGTGGTCAGTCACGTGGGAAAGTCCAGCACCTTAACCACCAAACCATCTGCTGGCCCCATGGGTGTAGGGCATTTCTAGCTCACCAGCAGGTGCCATCATGCCTCCTCCTAAATAATACCCTCCTCCAAAGGTAACCCACTATTTTAATATTTACTGACATGAATTACTTTTTCCTGATTTTGAGTATCATATCATTGGAATCACACAGTATATATACTTTTATGTTTTTTTTAAAATGTTTTATTTCCTTTTTTCTATGAGAGAGAGAAAAAAAAAAGACAGAGAAACGCAGACTCCTAAAAGGGGCCTCAATCGGTGATCCACACCAGCCTCAGCCCAGATAGTGGACAACCTGGCATGTAAAGGAGGCCTTGGGACACAAATCTAGGACGTCCCCTGTGGGACCAGCATTGCAGAGTGCTGTGTTACTGTTGTACCACTGGCTTACCCACCCTCTTTATAAAGTTTACTAGAGAGCGCACATATGCTAGGAAGAGAACAGCCACCCTCTCAGAGTCTTGTCACGATCCCTGCCCTCCAGCCTTCCAGCTAGCCCGACGCGTATGAGTGCTCGGCGTGTTCAGGTCAACTGGGATGGGAACCACGATCTTCCATGTAGTACCCTATTGTCTGTGCCACTGTCTCTGGGCCAGCACGCTGTACCTGATGCCAGCTTATTCCCTAAAACTGCTCTTAAGTGTGTGACATGCTCTTTCCATAAAGTAATAAAGAAACTGGGACAAACTAGGGAATAGAAACAGCAGATTCATGTCTTCCGGATCACACTTACTAGCCAAGGATATCGTTATTAAAATGAAAGTCCTGGTTTTGCAGCTATTTAAAATGATTAGTTTGCTCTTTCTCTTTTTCACGAATATATAAATTTGCATAAATTAAGATGTGTGACTCCTGTGCGTAAATAATGTACACACACACACACTTGGAAATAACAGACCAAGTAGACTGGTATAAAGATTTAGGCAGTTACACGTTAGAGGGCCCTAAGTGCTAATCAAATTTAGATTTGGTCCCACTGGCTATGAATATACTCTTGCTAGATTTAAAAAAAATAAACAAATATGGGACCAGCAGGTGGTATAGTGGTTAAAGGCACTGGATTCCTACATGGCAGACCATGGTTCCAGTCCTGGACCTGGCAGCTTGCTCTCTCACTTTCCCTCTCTCTCTCTCTGTCTGATCAAACTGAAAAATAATAATAATAGTAATAAAAATAAAGTTAAATAAAATATTTTAAAAAATAAATAAATACAAACTCTTTCTTTTTTTTCTTTCTATCTTTGCAAAAAGGGTGCACACATCCTCCAACTGGGCATGGTTATGCTACAATCCCTTCTCCATTTCTCCATCCCACCAGGATTTTGGGCACACACACACATGCCTGGTGCACTTTTCAAGCTGCCAGAATCTGAACTGTGGCCACCATGAGGGAGCGGTTCTTTATATACTCTAATTAACCATAGCACATGCCAACCCTGGTTGGCCTCCAAAAACTATTTCTATCTAAGCTTCCTAATCTTACATGAGATATATCCGAGTATTAATAAGATAATGCTATTCAACCACATTCATATATCAATTTCTCCAACCTTTTTAGCTATACTTCCCCAAATACGCAACTTTATTAAAGGTATAACCATCTACCTAGCTTCTTAATCCATAAAAACTAAGGAACAACCGTGGATCACAATTTCTCTCCACCAGCCCTGACTTCCCTGTACAGTCAGATCCAAATATTCAGTTAGTTGTGTCCCCAGCAAATGCTGCACAACTTTCCACTCCTCCCCAACTCCACCACCACAGTGGTCTAACCAGCAATCATGTTTTGCCTGCACTAATACAGTAGCTTCCTAATAGACTCTCCTTCCATACTTTGCCCATTCCCAACAATTCCTCTGAATCCATTCTCCATACACCAGACAGAGTAATTTTTCTTTTTTTTCCTTTTTAGGTTTTTGCCATAGGGCAGGTACATTCATTGGAAAGACAGAGACAGAGAGAGGGAAAGTGAAAAATCACCCCCTGAGGGGACGACCATGCCATAATCCCTTCTCTTCCACTCTCCTGTAGGGATTTTGGGCACACACGTACACATGGCTGGTGTGATTACTTCTCTTTGTGTTTTAGGGAGAGATTTTTGCACTAGGACATGTGAGTTTGCCAGAGACAGAAACAGAGAGACAGAAAGTGAGAAATCACCCCCTAGGATGTATGACCAGGCTGCAATCCCTTCTCCTCCATTCTCCTCCCAGGATTTTGGGCATGCATGAACGCATGCCCAGAGTTTTTTGTTATGTTTTGTTTTTTAAAGAATTATTTTATTTAACTTCAGTTTTTATTTATTAATTTACTCATTTTAATTTGACCAGAGAGAGACAGAGCAAGTAAGAGAGAGGGAAAACAAGAAAGCAAGCTGCTAGGTCTGGGACTCAAACTGCGATTGGTGACGTGTAGTTCAGTACCCTTAACCACCACGCCACCTGCCAGACTCCCAGAGTGAGTTTTAAGGCATCGGGTCTGGGACTTGAACCACGGTCAACTACGTGAGAATCCAGCAACATAATCACTGCTCTATCTGCTGGTCCTCATCCAGTGTGATTTTCAAGCTGCTGGGTCTGGAGCTCAAACTACAGTCAACCATGTCAGAGTCCAACACCTTAGCAACAATGCAAACAGCTGGGCCCAGAATAACTTTTTAAAACATTAATCAGGCCATGCCACTTCTTTCCTCAAAGACTCTAATGGCCTGGTACCTAAAGTATCCCAAATTCATCACATCTATACTTAATCAAAACTTCCTACACTGGTCTTCAAGGCCCTTTATGACCCGGTTGCTCTTTGTGCACCTCAGATCACCTCCCATCACTCAGGTTCACCCTGGGCCGCCTCCCTATTTTCAGGGCACTCCAAGTTCCTGAGCACCTATGGTTTTTGCCCTACCTGCTTCATCCCCAGTTCACCCTGTGCCTTCAATCTTCATGTGACTGGCTTTTTCTGCTATTCAAATCCTAACTCCAACTGCCTTGCTCCAAGAGGATTTCCTTGACCACTCAATCTAAAGTAGTCATCCCTTTACTTTCTAGAACATTGTACTATTTTAATTCTCTGTATAGAACTCATTACCAATAATAATTTATTTGCTTAGTCTTTCTCGATCTGCCACTGAAATACAAGCTCTTTGAGAATCTTACTATTGCCACATCCCCAGTGTTTAGAAAAATACCTAGTACACAGTCAATATTCGATAAATGCTTGTGTCTTAGACATGGATCTGATGATACAAATATAAAATACCCTTCCCCACATCGAGGTCTGAACTCTGGGTCCCTTTGGACAAATAGGAGGAAGAAAATAATTGCACTTTGCAAAGTACAACATAAATGCCTCTCCAGAGGGACTTCGAGTGCTATACCAACACATCATTTCTTTTTGGATTTTTGTCATAGGGCATGTGCAATCACCAGAGAGAGAGACAGAGAGAGAAGGAATGTGAGAAATCACCCCCAGGGAGGATGGTGATGCTGTAATCCCTTCTCCCTCAAGCTCCTCTAGAGATTTTGGGCACACACTTAAACAAACCATCCACCTGGTATGTTTAAGTCACCAGGTCTGGGACTTGAACCAATTGGATATGTGGGACCTAGTACCTTCATCATCATGCCACCTGCTGGGTCTGAACATTTATTTTTTTAAAGTCTGCTCTATGATAATACAGTAATTTATTTATCCAGCCCATTAATAAATAATATTTGAGTATATGTACAATATTAATTGAACTTAATCTCAAAGAAAATCAATTTATATTTTTTTACATCTCAATATCAGGTATTAATAAGACATAGTCAAAATAATTATGGTTGAAATTTTTATGCCAAAACTTACAAATAAATGTTTGGAGTTAGTATGCCTACACACAATTCACTTTTTGGTGTGAAGTTCTCTTCCTGTAAGAAAGAACATCTTGTTTACTTCACTAATGGGAATATCTCTTAATGCTGGAATGGCTTCTTCTTGGTATTTCTTCTGCTGCTGATTTTTAGCATAGTTATCTGTAAGAAAGATAAAAAAAGCTGTTTATTCAAGCAATTTCTTCTACAGTATCTGTAGCTGATAGAGACCTATCACATAGTAGAATGGAATTTGGATAATGACACATACCACGTTTCATAATTAATACCATGTCACATTAATCATAATTAAATGATTACTTAAATCTTCTCTTTAGAAGAAATGTCCCAGTTAAAATACAAATGTGACCAGCACTTTCCTTGAAATCTCAAACGTGAGAAAAAAATTAATATTTTATTCATCTGCATAAGGAGGGGTAAAGTTCTATTTGCACATTTCTCATAGGGACAGAATTATATCTAGGCCTTGAAAATGTATATAAACGAACACTGCAAAACTATTATATCATTGTTAGAAATATTCACACAAACTTAATAGTTTCCCCTCTTGGCACAAATTGTCCCTTTGCTATAATGCCAGTCAAGAAACCAGTGGATACAATAAGTTATCAGGAAAAAAATTTATATTGATTTTCAAATTACACTAAATGGGCACACAAAGGTTTTGAAAAGTTGAGGAATTATATCAAGGAGCTTAAAAAAAATAACGATCTAAGCAAGCTCAAGAATCTGAGTAATTTATCTTAACCTTCAGGCTTAAAAGGAACTTTAAAACCTCAAAAACATGTTACGGCTCTTCTATCCACTTAATTGGCATAAGGTGTACACCGTGATCCTGAAGAGGATTCACAGCCCAAATCCCTCATCCTGAACACGGTGTGCATGCATGGATCTATTTGCCATATTTCCATCAACAGTGCCTATTTAGGATAAATGAAGCTTCTCTTGGGCAAGGCTGTTGAGTGACATATTATAGATACTTGTGGTTTTTATGAGAAAATACAACTGTTAACTAGTATAATGACTCATCAGAACTTATTTTCTTCATGTGAACATTTGTCTTTGTGTAAATTTGAATTTATTTCTCTCAGATTCGTTTTACTGTCCCACTGTGTGTCTTGCAGACTTTTCTCGGTTGCTTTTCTGAATACAAGTGCTAAAGCCGCACTCCTCCATCTCCCCAGCACTTTCCTTTTATATACATTTACCTGTGATCGTGTGAATGGAGCTGAGTGGCGCGGTACTCATCATGTTAACTCCAAATAAGAGTACATAACCGATCACTATAGTAATAAGGAGGTAGACTGGTAATGCGACCGCCCAGTATCTGCAGAAGAGAGTATTAAAGTATGTAACAGACACCCTAAAAAGTGACATTTCTCAAGAGTTAGTCATAAAACTGGCATACTAACTTTTTAAATCCAAATTTAGTTTTTTTACTAAAGTACGAGAGTATGTAATAGACAGCTGAATAGTTCTACAAGAGTTACAATGAAAAATTGTAGTCATCTCCCCTGATCCTGGAGTCTCACTTCCCCAAAGGGAACGCTTCCTGAACCTGAGCTATTTCTTCTGGTCTTTACCTCCTCATTTCTACATAACATGCTTACATCATTAGTTCTTGATTTTATTTTTTCAATCTCAGGCATTTTCTCTGTATTTCCTGATATAGAAATGAATTTACCTCTTTCTATTCTCTTCTATACGTACACCACAATTTATGGATATAGCAGCAAGTTTTTAAAATTTTTAAATGTTTATTTATTTATATTTAAGATAGAGAAAGAGACAAAGAGACAGATACCCGCCTCCCCCCCAAAAAAAGAAAAACACAAACAAACACAAACAAAAACAAAAAATAGGGTCTTAACACCACAATCAACTCCAGACTCAGCTGGCCTGGATCATGGGCAAGTGTGCTCAGAGGTCCCAGGACATGAACTCGGGACCTTTCCCATGTGGATCCAGCTGTGTTACTACTATGCCACTGCCTGGTCCCAACAGTTTTTAAGTATGAATAATAGTAATAATAAAATAAAAGCAAAAAAAAAAAAAAAAGAATTACTATGACCACACAAACAATGTTTGGAACTGAGAACCTCGGTGTATTGTTACGTTTTCTTGTACAACTTTTTGTTTCTTCCTGGAATCTATAACTCTTTTTGTTTGGTTTGCTTTGTTTCCCTCCTCTTTATCAAGACCCTCTCGCATTCTCTGATAGGACACTAATATGCCTCTCAATACAATTAAGCACAGTGAATGCCCTATCTTGCCATGTTTTATTGGATGTATTATTTATTATTGGGTTGTCAGGAGAGTAATGACACATTTTTGCATAGAGGAACAGAAAAGTATGTCATGACTTCCCTGATGACCTAATAGTTTCCTCCCTGTTTTCTCTTTCTGGAACATCTAATAGATTTTTAGCCCTGTTACACTTTCCTCTATTGTCCATTTTTCTATTATACTTTCTACAGATTATCTTTGGCTTTTCTTTTCATATTTAATTTTGGTATCATGTTCATAATTTCCAAGCACAGTAATTCTCTTACCATTCTCTCTGCATAACATTCTGTTCTTTCATAGTTATACTCTTTTCTTACTTCCATGAGGATTTTTTTCCTTTCTTTTTAGCTTTTTGCTATAGGGCACAGGTACTTACCAGAGAGACAGAGAAGAAAAGTAAGAAATCATCCCCTGGGGAGAGAGCCACATCACAGACTCCTCTCAGGATTTAGGGCACACATGTGTACACATGTGCCTGGCACGTTTTTCAAACTACTGGGTCTGAGACTTGAACTGAGTTGTCAGCAACGTGAGGTCCAGCCACTTTAATCACCACAACACTGCTGGCTCACCTCTTTAAGGATTTTAGGTTATTTAAACCTTTTTTTTTTTTTTCTGGGGAGCAGGTGGCATGCTGGTTAAGGCACTAGATCCCACATGGCTATTCTGAAGTTAAAGTTTTGGACCCAGGAGCTTGAAAAACATACAGGGCACATGTGTGTGCGTGCCCAAAATCCAGTGAGGAGAATGAGGGAGAAGGGAATGCAGCATGGGCCATCCGTTCCCACCACCACCACCCCTGCCCCCCGTGTTATTTCTCAATTTCCCTTTCCCTCAGGCAAGTGCAGGTGCCCGATGGAAAAAATCCAACATAAAAATTTTGTCGTCATTGTTCCATGCTTTATCTCCACTTCCTTCAAGTACTTTTTTTTTTAAGTTTTATTTATTTCTTCCATAAATGAGAGAGAGAGAGAGAGACAGAACACCTCCAACAGGGTCTTGACATCAACCTTGAGCCGGTCCTGCATCATGGGCAAGCATGTGCCAGGTATACTTGGAGAGGTCTCTGGGCTTTAACCGGTGACCTTCTCATGTGGGACTGCCTTGCAGAACATCCTGTTCTACCAGTGTCACCACCGGCTGGACTTCTATGATGTTTTTTCAGTACTTGGCAACTTACGGCAGTTCATTCAAAGCAGTATTATTTTTAGAGATAGAGTTTCATTATGTTGCACTCCTAACTCAGCTTCCCAAGTAGCTGGGAGTACCGTACATGCTGTTGTGCTTGGCTTTTAAGTTGGCCCAAGAATCAAACCTAGGCATCCCATGTGGCCTCAGCCTACAGAGAAACGGCATCTAATCAGTAAGTTCCACTATGGCTGGGCTAGCAGTCCATTCATATATTTTCTTATTTTTAGTTTAATTTTATTATTTATTCTTCTTCATCAATTTAACCAGAGGGAGAGAGAGAAGCTGACAAGTTGCCAGGTCCAGGACTTCGTGCTTAGTCATGTGGGAGTCTTGTGCCTTAACCATACCTGCTGGTCCCCAGTCCATTCATATTTAAAACTGAACCCTTAAGAAGGTAATTGGAAGCACTGTGTGTATGTGGGTAGGGATGATCAACTGCTGATCAAGTCTCAATAGCAGAAACTTGGCCACTTCACTGGGTCTTCAAATGTCAGAAATTATAGATCCTCTCTCGAGCTGGCCAGTTTTCTTGGGAAGGAATCTCTTATTTTCTAGGAGGGGTTCTGTGGTACAACCTGGAAACCTAGTGAAGGAAGGTGTCAGGGGAGGGAATGGATCTCATCATACAGGCATGCAGATTTCACTTGGTCCCTTATCTGAAGTAAGGTACCTCATTTCCACATTCAGTTACACCTGGTGGCCCCCCATCTAGAGACTCACTCGGGCTTCCCAGAGAGTAAAACTCCTGTTTTACGCAGGTGATAGCCGGGTTGCTCTCTCAGTTTTAAGGGCCAAGGGGAAGAGATTTGAGATCTAATGCTCTTTAAGCATGCTTTCAGTTCAATCCAGAATGACTATGTTAGAGAAGAACCTGGTACCTCCAATGTCTGAGCCATTTTTTAGGGCACGCATATTCTCACTGGCTTTTCTACTTAAGCAATGTGGAAAAAAGAAGTCAGTATTCAAGTATTTTAATCCACTTCCCCAAATTTTTGCTGCTATTTCTTATCTGCCATCTCATTCTTTGTTTCTGCAAGGTTATACCTTAAAAGAATTTTCTTTCTATGGGGTCACTGCTGGGTTTTGAATGCATCTCTTCAAAATCCATGTGTTGAAATTTGATTGCTATATTGATAGTATTACAAAGGTGGAAACTCAATTCAACTCTGGCATTAAGTGGTGGGGCCTTTGGTAGGTAAATAGGCTAAGATAGGCCACATGATTGAACACTGGTAACATAAGAAGAGGGAGAGGGAACACAACTGATACATTCTTGCCCTCTTGCTGCCTTGGGACAATGTAGAGTCCCCAACAGCAAGAAGGCCCTCATGAGATGTGGCCTCAACCTTGGACCTTTAGAATCCTCAGCTGAATAAAACTATAAATTATCTAATCTGTGATATTCATTTATAATGACAGAAAACAGCCTATTGGGCTGGCTTGGTGGTAGAGTGGTAATGCACTGCTTCAGTTATGTTAGATACACATAGAAGATTACAGGTTTAATGTCCTGGTTGACCTGTACAGACCAGGTACAGGTGTATACACACACACACCCATGATCCTGGCTAGCTGGGAAGGCTGGGGGCAGAGGAAGACTGTGGTAGGAGATACTGTTGAGGATCTTTCTTTCTCGCTCTCTCTCTGTCTCTTGTGCTTACCAAAGAAATAAACTTAATAAAAAAAGAAAAGACTGGGACCAGCAGTTAGTATAATGGCTATGTCATTGGACTCCCATGTAGTCGACTGCGGTTCGAGTTCCAGACCTGGTGGCTTAAACTCACACCAGGCACGTGTGCATACATGCCCAAGATCCCGAGTGGAGAATGGAGGAGAAGGGATTATGGTGTGGCCATTCCCCCTGGCGGGTGATTTCTCGCTTTCTATCTCCCTCCCTGTCTCACTCTTTCTGGCAAGTGCACACACCCTATGGCAAAAACCTCTCGAAAAAGAAAAAAAGAAAAAAAAAAAAAAAAAGACTAGCAAGATTTTGGGGAAAAAATGAAAAAATGTAGATAAACATGTGTATTCACCCTATATTTAATAATAGGTATGTCAATAATGATCTTTAAATAGCTTTCAAATTCTATATGGATAATCATAGAATAAACATTTAAGATTTCAAGTGTTAATAAGACTATAATCCTTCAAAACAGCATTAAGTATACTTTTATTTTAAAACTATATCAAACTTACTTTTGAGGCCAATAGGTTAAGCCTAAGGAGTTTAGCCAAGATTCAGGAATAAATGCCCACACTAGATAAAGTACTGTAGATGAGAAAAGAGGGGAGAGAGACAAGTTAGTAAGGCATGCATCCAATCTATCAATGTTCAGATAAAACAAAAAAGCTCCTCTGAAACATCCCTGACTCATGTGGAAATAATTTTTCCCTCCTTTCAGTTCTTGTGGCTTATTTCCATCACTCTTTTAATACGTATCATGGTTATCTTATTAGTAATTTTTTTAAAACATATTTTACCTTTCACATTGTTTAAAGCAATTCAAGGGCACAAATCATGTCTTAGCAATTTTTGTAATCCATATAGCACTTATAAATCTGCTTTATGTATAACAGGTGTTCAATACTTCACCTTCAGAGTTGAAACAATTAAAGGCAGTTGGTTGACTAAAGAATTTAACTACTCTAATTCTGGAAACCAGCAGTTAGCGTAATGGCTATGTCGTTGGACTCCCATGTAGTCGACCATGGTTAGCGTCCTGGACCCAGTGGCTTAAAACTCACGCCGGGTGCGTGTGTGTATGCACAAGATCCCGAGAGAAGACTGGAGGAGAAGGGATTGTGGCATGACCATCCACCCCGGGGGGTGATTTCTCGCTTTCTGTCTCTGTCTCTGTCTGTCTGGCAAGTGCATGCGCCCTATAGCAAAAACCTCTCCAAAAAAAAAAAAAAGAATTTAATTACCCTAATTCCGACTCATTACAAGTTGAGCTTCTGCCTTACATATCAAAGTATAATCTTGTTTCCTCAAACCCAAGCCTTTGTGGGATCCTTTACTATTGTCCCTGTGTAATAACAATAGCTGAGCTCTGAGTATTCTATATGCATTCTCTCATGTAACCTTCAAGACAATCCTGTGTACATACACACTTTTTGCAGATGAGGAATAGAATCTTAGAAAGGTTACATCAGCTGCCCAAGTGGCAGATGTCAAATTTCAATCTATCTACATCAATGAGGATGGATTAATTTTTTTCTAGATAAATATGTATTATAGAATTCTGTATGTCAAGAGTATGAGATGCAACAGTAAACATGAAATAAATGGCTCTTTCCTACCTGAGCTTAAAATCTAATGGTGACTGGGACCAGCAGTTAGCGTAATGCCTATGTCACTGGACTCCCACGTAGTCGACCGTGGGTCGAGTCCCCGGCCCAGTTGCTTAAACTCACGC